ACTCCCTCGGCCCGACATCAGGGCATGCCGGCACGCAGCGTGGCCCATGAAGGGATGCGCGAACGCCCGAGACAAAAATACGCAAGCAAGCGGCTAATCGATACGTTTAAGGGCCGACGTTCCGCTGACGAAGCAGACAATGAGTCGTTAGCCGCAGCCGGCTACCCCGCAGCTGGTGACCCCGCAGCCGGTTACCGCGCCCCCGCGCGGAACGGGCGTGGCTCGGCTTGGACGCGCGGCCGCCTCTCCAATCTTCACGCGACATTCCGGAGGCGCCGCTATGCAAATGTGTCGGGAGACGGCATAGCTAACGTCTGTCGGACGGGGAGATTGGGGAGGGGGAGGGGCAACACGCCAGGGCTGCTGTTCGCACAAAGGGCGGGCCGGCCCGCTCCTGCGGAGCAGCGGCGTCTTTGATGCCGGGGCGGCGGCGGCGGCGGAGGCCCTCTCCTGGCGCATTGTGCTGCGCAGGAGGAGCGCCACTGCGGACCAGCGGCGGCGTCTCGATTCACTCTGCGCTCCTCGGAAGGGCGCGGAAGCTGGCGAGAATGCGGAGGCGAAGGGTGTTTACCTCCCACTCAAAGGCTGGAGATGAGTTGGCTGACTTGGCGGAGGCGGTGGGTCGCTCGATGGGGTCACGGCTTGACCCCTGGACCTCATCCCTGTCGCCCGGCGCCTGTGCTGCGCGTTGGGTGGTCGTTGACCCGAGTATACAAATAGTTCTCCGCTGTTGGTGTTGCAAGCGCTTAGAGGAGCGATGTGTCCAGGTCATCCCCTGCGCGCTCCGTCCTCCGCCGACCCACCGAGGCTCGTCCGCCTGCAAGCAGTCGTGTAGCAGCGAGCGTTGGGTGCGCCCAGCGTTGCGCTCTCCGGGCGTGGAAGGTGCGGACCGCGGCTATCACGCGGTCGGGAGCCGACCCCGATTAGTGGTTCCGAGGCAGCGTTTGACGTGCATCCTTGAATGGGCGTCGATTGGTGACGAGCTCGTGTTGGCTTTGCGGATAGTGTCTCGCGACGATAAGAAGATCGGTGCCACCGCGTGGGCCGTGCTACCAGTCTGGCCGCGCAAAGTCCTCAAGAGGCTGCAGAGCTGAAGTGTTTGTGCAGGGGTGTGACTTGTTCCCACCGTTATTTGTGCTGATAGGAACTTTGGTGGACATTCGTGTTGCTGATGCAGATACCTGCATTCTGACTTGGTCATACTGGGAAAACATTACCTTCCACGTGCCCGTTGCTTTCTTCGAAACACGTGGGAGGCGAACGTGTGGCCCCACTTCTGGAGTTCCTGAGCAGGTTACCAGCACCTGGGTTCCCTTTGAGTCACCGCATCCCTCGTTGTCAGATGCCACACGGAGTTGGCGGCCGTCACCGCGTCTCTGAGAACCTTCTCGATGGTAATAATGTCCTCAAACGAAATCCAAGGGGGCAGTAGTTGGTGCAGCCCTTATCTGGGTCGCTGCAATAAAGATTAGAGGCCGCCGTTGTGTAAATATTTTGAGAGAGTCCTAAGAGCCTATGAGGCTCAAAGCAGACAAACCTCGCATCCGTTCAATGTTTTGCATGGTGGCGATGGAAGCGCTCTCGCTGGCCGCCGACTGGCATCACTCCGAGCGGACCGTCGCCTGGACAGCGGCGCCGCGCACGCCCATCCGCTCGCCCTTCGGCGAGGAGTCGGGCGGCGGGACGAAACGGAGCGGAACCGCCGCGGACCTGTCCGCCTCTCCCCCTTCAGCCGTCGCCGGCGGGATGAGGTGCTCGCTGTGACAGCCGGGCGCGGCGCGCATTAGCGCCTGTCACAACCGGCACGCCGCCGCCCGGCCGTCCGACGCCCCGTGTCCGTTTCACCTGGGCGCGGCCCCCCGCGCCGCGCCGCGCCGGCGGCGCCGACACTCGGTCTGCATTCGCGTCACGCGCCGCGCAAAAACCTCTGCGCTGGCTGGTCGACGAGAGCCGTCTCGCCGCCCGTCTCGCTTCGGGCGCCGGCCTGCCCCGGACGGTTGTCAGGTTAAGGGCAGCAAAAAGGCGGAGGAGGTTGTCGAGTCGGCCCGCGACGGCGGGACGTCGCGTTGCCGGATGCGACGCCGGGCGCGTGCCCGGAGGGGGCGACGTTTCGGGCCGGCAGCGCGGTCCTTCGCTGAAGCGGCATTCGCTTTCAGGGAAGCGATTGGTAACGCGACCAGCCCCGAAAAGTGACATGAAAAGAATTCCAATATGTGAATCATCCTTTCATAAAAAGCATGGCAAAAAGTCGCGGCTATGGTCGTGTGGCGACGTATGACGGCCCGGTAACTGTAGACATGCAGCACTTGTTGGGCTGCGAGCTGCTGACGCGGTGAGCGGGGCTCGGTCGGAGCAAGGCTGCCCACTCGCGACTGTATCGGTTTTCCGCACCATCCCGTGGCATCGCCAGCCCTCTATGGCGCTCCGCATACGGGGGCAGCGTGCGGCCACCAGCAGCCATGCGTCTGCGACGGCCAACTGCCACGTCAGGAGCGTTTTACGGCGTCGGGTTTGGCATCGGTCTGGCATCGGTTTGGCATCGGCCTGCAGCGCTCCACAGCGCTGCTAATTGGGCGGTCGCAAGGCGGATGCGACGGTGCTTCGAAGTACACAGCCGTGGGCAGCGCGCCGCTGCGTGCCCCACCGCGGGCGCTCCGTGCGCCGCGCCCATCCGTGCCCGCCAGCAGCGGTCGGTGGCGGTCAGCGGTAGCGGCGGCAGCCAGTAGCGGTCAGGGGCTCCGATACCGGCCGCCGAGCAGCGGCTGTCATCGATACGCCACCAGCTGCTCGACGATAGCGCGCCGGGCCGATACGGGTCGGCGGCGTCCGCCGGCCGGGGTGTCAAGTGGTCGTATCGGACGACTGGGCGGCCGGCCCGGCAGCCGGCGACCCCGCCGGCTGCTCGCCGCTTGCTCGTCACGCGCCGCGGCGCCGCCGCCGTGTGGGTAATGCATGCAGAGGACGTGGCCGGCTGCATCGCGCCGCTGCTTACGCATATCATTATCAGGCGTTATGCAGATAACTGAGCTCTTGCGTCACGCGGGCCATTGTCGGTGTCGGTGAAGGGCAGGGGCGAGCGCCCCACAGGCGTGAAAGTCGCATTGTGTGGTGGACGTGATGCGATTTGTGTCGGCCTCGCCGGCGCGCCATCAGGTCAGATGACGCCGCGACCGCACCGCTCCACGGTGCCCGTCCAGCTCACCAGATGCGCGGGACAGCCGGCGCAGAGCTGTGTTCGGAGAGCTGCAGATGGCGAGCTCGCCTCCTCTCCTCCAGCGCCGGGACAGCCGGCGGCGGTCGGACCTGACCTTCACACCGGCCACGCGACCCCTCGTTAGCCCGCCGTTCCGCCAGCCGTCGCGGTGCCGTCTCGCCGGCCTGCTCCGGCCGCCGCGGCAGGCCACTGCAGGCCGGCCAATCGGCCGATCGGTGAGCGGTGGTGGCAACGACCGACGGACCTGCCGACCGGCCGACCGGCCGCCGCTCTCGGCGGCGCCGGCCGTGCATCCGGCTGGCCGACGGTGGATCCTGGGAGCTCGGTGGACGGTGGGAGCTGTCGGGCGATCGGGGACCACTTGGTGGATTCGGGGAGTTCTCTGTAGAGACAGATAGCGCACAAAGGAGCTGGGTGGCTCACAAAGCAGCTGGGTAGCCCTCGTGAGAGCTTGGTGGCCGTCGAAGGAGGAGCAGGGCGGCTCTCAGGGGAGCTGGGTAGCTCTCGTAAGAGCTTGGTGGCCGTCGAAGGAGGAGCAGGGTGGCTCTCAGGGGAGCTGGGTGTCTCTCAAGAGCTGAGTAGCTCTCAGAGGAGCTGGGCGACTCTCGGGAGTGGCGAGTCATCTCTGAGTGGGCCCTGAGAGCTTATGGAGAATTTGGAGATCGCTCAGTCGTTCCTCGCTTTGCTCTGGATCGTAGTCGGCTTTCAGTGCAGCGACGCCTGCTGTTTTGGAGTCGCCGTCGTTTCTGAGGGCTGGCGTCACGGTGCGTGTTTTTTTGGGGGGGAGGGGGGTGGGGGTGGGATGGGCCGAGGTCCCGGCGTGTCCAGCCTGGAACGGGCGTGTTGTTGGACGAACAAGGTGGTAGACACTGGAGGAAATGCATCCCTGCCGACCAGCACGTTCTGCTGGTATGGGCGATAACCTCGCACGACTCGGCGAGGTTCATGGAGTCCCCTCCAGTAGCGGAGCATGTGCTGCAGCCCATGCATGGCCCCCGTTTCTGCATCGGAGCCTCCTGCGAGTTACCTGACGTGGGCGTGTCTTCCGACCGCCTGGTGGTCTCAGGTGAACGAAGCCGAGCTGCGGAATGGGCCGCGCAGACGAAACAGAAAGCCCTGCCCGGCCGCGGGAGCCCAGCACGTGGGCTCGTGCCCACAAGCCGGCCCCTGCTCGGTGCCTTGTCTCTGGCGTGGGTGGGGGTGGTAGCGTCTGAAAATGCGTCTGAATCGCGCGAACGTTGTCGGCTTACATCGGATTCGTTAGGGTGGTGGAGCTTTGGTCGCTCCATATGCGTAATATCCGTAATGCACGCGCGTATTGTGTACATATTGACACTGAGTCCGGCAAACGGAGGCTACAGTCTCCGTCATTGGTCAGGCGCATGACTGAGGCCGGCCGCAACCGTCACTGAATGGCGACCCATGTCCTATCGGTGGCGTAGGTTTATCTCATTTGGAAGACAACGTATGCAGCTTCTGACACGTCATCACGTCTCCGTGTGCGATCCGCATCCTGCCGTCAGCCGAGCGCCGCGTAACGTGGCGTGTGGCGCTGACTCGGCCGTGACCCATGCCTCGTGTCGCGACTGACCCCGACCCTCCGCCGCGACTGACCGCGACCCTCTGCCGCGACTGACCGCGACCCTCTGTCGCGTCTGACCGCGACCCTCTGCCGTGGGACTGACCGCGACCCTCTGCCACGACTGATCCTGACCCTCTGCCGCCAGGTGACGTGCTGAGCGGCGTCTGCTACGTGGGAGTGCTGAACGTACCAGCGCTGCGCGGTTTCGTGCTGGCGCCGCTGGTCGTCTACCTGGCGCTGGGCACCGTCTTCCTGCTGGCCGGCTTCGTCTCGCTCTTCAAGATCCGCACCATCATGAAGCACGACGGCACGCGCACCGACAAGCTGGAGAAGCTGATGATCCGCATCGGCGTCTTCTCGGTGCTGTACACGCTGCCGGCCACGCTGGTGATCGCCTGCCTGTTTTACGAGCAGGCGTTCCTCGATCAGTGGACCCTCGGCTGGCAGGAGCAACACTGTGGCCTGCGGAACCCCAACTGGTCCAAATACGCCATCCCCTGCCCGCCGGCCGCCGCCGACGGCCTGCTGCGGCCGCAGCCGTACTTCGAGTTCTTCATGATCAAGTACGTGATGCTGCTGATCGTCGGGATCACGTCCGGCTTCTGGGTGTGGTCGCACAAGACGCTGCAGACGTGGGGCCGACTGTGCGGATACGGCCAGCCCGCGGTCGTCTACCGGACCCCCGACGGCCGCGTCGTGCAGCCGAACCACGTGTGAGCCAGCGGGCTGCGCGCACGCGCGGGACATGCATGGGACGTGCGCGGTGGGTGTGAGAGGACACTGCTGGACGTGCGCCGGACGTGCGCTGGACGTGGTCTGGATGCGCGGCGTTCTTGCTGGCGCGGGGCCGGCTTCGGAGGCGCGGCGGACGCTTCTTCGGTCGCCACCGCGCCCGCCTCTCTGTGTGATAGACTCGGCGCCGCTGACGCGCCAGAAACGCCACGCGACGCTTCAGGGAAGACGGGCGTCGTCTCCGCCGCGGTTCTGAACCTCGCCGAGCGGAGTCAGCGCGCCCGAACCCGCAGCCCTGCACTGCTGACCGAGGGACGACGGGTGTTCCGCTACCCCTCCCGGGCTCGCGCCGCGGCCGCGTCGACTCGCCAGTTGACGTCGCATTACCGGCTCGTGGGCGCCGAACGCGTGCGCTTGTCCCGGCGCGCGCGTGGATGACACCGCCGGACTAGTGGCGGGCCTCCGACCCTGCCGCGGACCGACAGCAGCTGGGTGCGAGGAGCTGGCCGTCCAGTCGCCGAGCGCTCCCGAGGCTCGGTTCGAGCGAGAAGGTCGACGGTCAGCGGCTGGAGCGTGCCGCGAGTTGACGGCCGTCGCGGTTCCGCCGGATCTGCTTCTCACCGACACCCCTTCTCGCCCGCTCACCGGCGGAGAGGGAGGCGGCGCGGCCAACCGGTCAGGTGAGTTCCAGGCTCGGCCCGTGCACGGCGGTGTCGAAATCGAGCTGTCAAGCTCTATCTTGAAGTTTTCCGTTCGGCTGTCGTGTTCTTTTTTATCACCCCGTCGTATGGCGATGCGCAACACGGGCCGTGCAGCCTTGTCTGTCTACCCCCTTGTCTCGCGTCTGCCAGTGACACCCAACGGTATTTTCTCCCCGCCGTCGCGAAGTGTTCCGTCGGATCCGGGTCACATGCCCTTGTCGCCTGTGACCAAGGGCTTAAATCTGTCCCGCACGGCCGGTCAGTACAATTTCCAATTCTTATCGCCGTCCATAATCTGCCGGCCGGGTGCGTACCGGCGGCCATCTTGTCCGCCGAAGACCGGCTGCGGCGGCCGGCCGTGCGCGGCCGCCGAGCTGCGTGTTTTTTCCGAGCCTGCGTGCTTTAAGCGACGTCCCCGTGGGAGAACGACGCGTCGCTAAAGCGGCGGCGCTGCCGGGTGTAGCGCGCACCGGCGTGCGCGACAGGTAACGACGAGGCACGGGTGGACGATGCATGTCGCCGTCAGGGCGACCACCTGTGTCCACCGATGCGAGGAGACGTTGACATTCCGCATGGGATTAATTAAGTTGGCTTGGCCTCGGACACGTCACGCCCGGCGTGAAATCCTGCTCGACCCGGCGCTTTTTGTCATTTCTTGCGCTTTTTTTGACTGTGACTTCTTGCTGTGGGGTGCATCATCGGCGTGTTTCCGTGACGGTCTGGCGCCGAGAGAACGTTGCGAACGGGGTCGTAACGGTTGGTGTCCGCAAGCGCGGAAGGCCAGACGGCCTGATTCACGGATCATTAGCTGCACATAACCCCGAATCAGGCGCGACCACCCCCTGGCGGCGTGGGACGTGGTCGGCGGTGCCCGCTGGCTGATGTTCGGGTGTCTGTTCACACTCGCGCGCGCTTTCGAAGCGGCGGCTCTGGACATCGGCCGGCCGATCGGGCGTCTCCGTGGACATCGGCCGGCCGATCGGGCGTCTCCGTGCCGTTCGCTCGCGACGGTTTACAAGCCAATCAGTGGGTGGAAAAACCCGACGGAGGCAAAAACGGGGCCCGGGGTTGTTTAGGTTGTTGGCCCGTTGGCCTGATATGAACTAGTGCGCCGGGTGCCTTGGCTGCATGTAACTCAGCGGTTAATTGGCTGTGCTGCTCATTATCAGCGCATCTGATGGCGTGGCCGGACATTGGCGGACCGTCGGCCCAACCCTCTCCGTTCAGCTGTCAGGCTCCCCGAAGACGGCTCGACCCAGCCAATTACAGAAATAAATGTCCACGACCGGGCCGGCCAGGAATCTATCCTGACTAGCTGGGATATCGGGTGGGATAGGGCCGCCGCGTGCCGGCCGCCGCGCGCCCCACCGACCGGTTCTCCTTGAACGACTCGCCCAGCACCTTATCGAGCGGGTCCGGCGGTGGACGCGGTCGCCGGCGCGCGACACCTCGTCGAGTCGTCAGTTTTGCGGCGACCCGTGCACCGCCGCGCGACCTTCGGGCGGCGCCGGCGCCGTTTTCGTGTGCCGCTGGTAACGGTTCGGCATGATCTATCGATGTATTGACTTGGAGCGTCAAACGCTGGTCCGGTCGGACGCGGTCGCGCCGCCGGCTGGTGGGCCAGGCGGCGCGGCGGATTCCTCCGGGTCGGTCGCTCGGCGGGCGGGCGGCTGCGCGGCTGGTGGCACGTGGTGTTGGCACCTCGACCGGTCGGTGCTCCTGTGGCACGTCCCGGCAAAATGGGCTCTGGATCGCCGGGCTGCTGAAAAACGCGGCAATGTGAGTCACGCAAGCTTCGGGAATGGGCGGGGGCGGGGGGGGGGGGGGGGGCGTATTCACCGCGACAGTGCGGGGGGAGGGGGCGCATTCACCGCGACAATGCGGCACGAGGCAGCCGCCGACCGCGCGTCTACCGGCTGCCGGGTGACCTCTGACCTACCGCCGACAGGCGAGGACTCAGGCGTTGTCGTCCAGCTGGCGCCCCGGCCGTTCGCCTCCGCCCTCTTGGGAGCGACGCAGGCAGGAACGTACGGCTGAGGGGTGAGGGCCGAAAGGAGCGACTCCTACCCCGTTGAGAAGTTCAAGGCCCCTAGGTTTCTCCATCTGCCCTAGGGACGTCTAAATTTTGGAACATATTTTTACATTTCCTGATATTTTGGGGATCCTTTATTTAAAACTTTTGAGAAAGTCTGTGCAACAATGGTGAGTGAACGTTTTGTGAGGCTTCATAAACGTCTGTAAGCTCTGGAGCGGGCGAGAGGACCTGGCTGGTCTGGAATGGCCCCTGTGTGAACCGTGGAATACATCCACCGAAAGGCATATTTGAATGTGTAAAAATGTAATCTAATGTGAAGAATGTATCGTAAAAATGTAATGTAATCAGTAAAAATGTAATGTGATGTTAAAAGTTAACACACTCTGTAACAACGGCAGCTTTGAGAAGCTTAAGCGAAACCTAGTACCCCTGAGCAAAGCTGTGGAGTCCCTGAGGTTGCAGGGCCTCTGGCAGCCTTTCAACCATGTCCTCTGTCACGAAATCTTGGCTCTGTGCCCAGACATGGGCTCTGTACTGGTCGTCGTGGACATTTTTCGTCCTTGTCACGTCTTTGTCGTGCTTGTACGATCACGCCTGTGGGGGCGAGAAGATGGTTAGGGGTGGCCCGCCGTTGGGGAGGGGGAGGGGGGCAGGTAAGTTGTTGATTTGGGTCTCAGGACGCCACAGCTGCAGCCGCAGCGGCGCCCATTGGGAGCAGAAGTGGTCCGCCGTTACTGAAGTGGGAGTGAGCTCGGAAAAGCACGCGCAGCACGCCCGGTACAGTCCGGCGCCGCCCGTCCGGTACAGTGCGGCGCCGCCCGTCCGTTACAGTGCGGCGCCGCCCGACCGGTACAGTCCGGCGCAGCACGCCCGGTACAGTCCGGCGCCGCCCGACCGGTACAGTCCGGCGCCGCCCGACCGGTACAGTGCGGCGCCGCCCGACCGGTTGTTCGTCCGCCGAAATGACTGTCTGACTTTTTTGATAAGTGATTTGCCTTTATTGTGGTATTCTTCTGCTAGGTGCACACGGGCGCGACCAGATGCGGCTGCTCCAAAATTATTTACTGCCGTGGCAGAAATCTGTCGTGCAAGTAGTTTGCGCCGTTGAACAAAATACACGTGAGCTCGCGGGCTGCAAGCAGATAATGTGTCTGGCGGTTCGAAGCTAGTTAAGACACAGTTGAAGATATGACTAATGGTCAGTGTTCTGTGTTTATGTGCACAGAGACACAATAATGGCGGTTAATGACGTAACCAGTCCAATGCAGAAAAGTGCAGTGAGCTAAGCTGGCGGGATGGAATCACGGCGACGGTAGCAGAGTGGTGGGTGGATGATGACAGCCGTCGACCAAGGAAGCGGAAGAACCGAGGTTAAGTTTGCTGCAGATGTCTTCAGACTTGTGTATTTTCACCACTACGTATCTACTAGCGCGTCGCGGTGTGATACAGTGCGCGTGGCGAAAGGTCGACACTGCGCGTGAAATTGGCAACGAACGCGGGACTCAGTTGAGCGACGTCTGATTCAGCTACGTGTTGTACTCAAGTGACCAGTGGCAAGGCTGCTGGTCCGGAACGGCACCGCCTCAGGGCACTCGGCGTAGCTTATTCAGTGACTTTGACAACGTGCGCATCAAGTGAGTCGAAATGGATTGGGCGTGACCCTAATCCATTTCCTGGATTAGGCTCTCACCCGTGTTGAAATTAAAAGTGTGGAGCGTGCATTTGCATGGTTGGTTACGGCCAACGCTGTCACGAAACGCTGTCGTTTCTCCAGGCCCCAGTTTGCCAGCCGTCTCGAGGAGTGACGTTGCTAATGACCCCACGTAAATCGATAAACAGTCGACGCAGACCATTGCGAACCGCATGAGCTCTGCTATTACCCCCTCACCTCGATCGACCCTGCCCATTAGGGGTGACCGCAGCTGCGACCGACGGTGCCAACAGATGGTCGCGGTCACCACGCTTTATCCGCCAGTAACGAGTGTTTGTCCAGTCCGTGGAAAGGCGCTTGATACGTGCCCGGTTCGGCGGCGGATAATGAGCAATCTGTCAGATCGCGCGCGGTTCGGCGGCAGATAATGAGGAATCGGTCAGATACACACCCGGTTCGGCGGCGGATAATGAGGAATCGGTCAGATACGTGCCCGGTTCGGCGGCGGATGATGAGGAATCGGTCAGATACGTGCCCGGTTCGGCGGCGGGATAATGAGGAATCGGTCAGATACGCACCGGTCGGCGGATAATGAGGAATCGGTCAGATACGCACCCGGTTCGGCGGCGGATAATGAGGAATCGGTCAGATACGTGCCCGGTTCGGCGGCGGATAATGAGGAATTGGTCAGATACGCGCCCGGTTCGGTGGCGGATAATGAGGAATCGGCCGCCGGGTCACCGGCGCTTTGACGCGCCGTAGCTCTGTCGCAATTAATCTGACCAGCCACGAAATCTGCGGACAAAGCGGGCGCGGGTTGGCCGCAGCCGGCGTGGGTGTGACGCCAGCCGGGAGGGCTGCACTGTCTTCTGTCGCCGGAGCAGCGGCCGCAGTGTCCTCTGTGGCCGGAGCAGCGGCCGCAGTGTCTTCTGTGGCCGGAGCAGCGGCCGCAGTGTCTTCTGTGGCCGGAGCAGCGGCGCAGTGTCCTCTGTGGCCGGAGCAGCGGCCGCAGTGTCTTCTGTCGCCGGAGCAGCGGTGCAGTGTCCTCTGTGGCCGGAGCAGCGGCCGCAGTGTCTTCTGTGGCCGGAGCAGCGGCCGCTGTGTCTTCTGTCGCCGGAGCAGCGGCGCAGTGTCCTCTGTGGCCGGAGCAGCGGCCGCAGTGTCTTCTGTCGCCGGAGCAGCGGCGCAGTGTCCTCTGTGGCCGGAGCAGCGGCCGCAGTGTCTTCTGTCGCCGGAGCAGCGGCCGCAGTGTCCTCTGTCGCCGGAGCAGCGGCGCAGTGTCCTCTGTGGCA